TGTGGAATCAGCTTCCAGTTTGTGTTCGGGCGGCAGACACCCTATCCGTTTTTAAGAGTGCGCTTAAGACCTTCCTTTTTGATAAAGCTTATAGTGATCAAATAAAATAATCTAATAAGAGTGCATTGACGTAGATACGTTGTGCCTCTTCACCTATACATTTTAGTTCTTACTCTTTCACTTAAATCCTAAAAACTTAGATCTTATATTTAAAACTTTATCCAAACCTTTCCCCTCTCTGAACTCTCGAGGTTTATTAGAGGGTAACAGGTTTCAGAGAATGCCTAGCCCGGCCGGGGAGTGTGGAACGTAGCCACTGACCCACTCTGACAAATTCAGGTTCCAATGGGGACCTTTTTCCCTGCGTGCCTCTCCACCTCTGTTTCCTACTTCTTACTTGCTACCCTTTCCCTCAACCTATCCTAAGGGAGTGCATATATGTAGACACGTTAGTTTAGCTGCTATCGGCTTGGACTGTTGGGGGGGGCACCTTACTCCGTCTTTCTGGCTGTGTGTACCCGTGTACTCTCATGTTCCGATTAACCCAGTTTCCCCCAAATCTCTTTTTTGTGTCCATATCTACACCGGGATCCTGAGTCGAGGCTAATCCTGTTGCTGTGGTCGTGTGTCCTGGATCCTCTATCCTGAGCACTGGATCCTCTATCCTGAGCACTGAGTCGTGGCTGAACCTGTCTCTGCGGTCCTGCCAGACTCTCACTATACTACTTCACTGATGGTTCACACAAGATTGCTGACATCCTCGTGGATTCATCTTCCTATTATAGACACATGCATTTCCAAACATTTAGTCTACCTATGTTGTAAATGTATTATCTCTTCAATTTACATACGGCATCTATTGCACGTCTGTCCGTCCTGGGAGAGGGATCCCTCCTCTGTTGCTCTCCCTGAGGTTTCTCCCATGTTCCCTTTAAACTGTGGGTTTTCTCTGGAAGTTTTTCCTTGTACGATGTGAGGGTCTAAGGACAGAGGGTCTAAGGACAGAGAGTCTGAGGACAGAGGGTGTCGTATTGTCATACTGATATTCTGTACACACTGTGAAGACCACTGAGACAAATGTAACATGTGTGATATTGGGCTATATAAATAAACATTGATTGATTGACATCAGGTCCTGGCAAGGCTGAAGCATAGTGTGGCCCTGCAGTTGCTCCATGACCTTAGAGAGACTAATCCCATCATTGGAATGGCTACATCATTGGATATAGACAATGAGGAGGAATACCCGGTGCACCCTCCACCCTTCTCCCCACATACTGAGTGTGACGAAGAGGACTGCAGGCAGGTGATGCTGGAAAATGTGGCATTGAGGGCTCAGAAGGATGCCCTCATTGATGAGGTGAAGACCCTGCGCTCCAGGCTGAAAAAGGGGCTAAAACCCAGGAAGCAGAGTGCCACTGCTGCTGTGCTTGAGGAAGAGGAAGAATGTATACGATTTAAGGGCCTGGCAATCTCAAGTACCTCCGGCATAAACACAGTAGCCTCCGGCAGCAATACCCCTCTCAAGACCCCGGTCAAGACTCTCATGCGGTCCCCAGAAGCCTCCGGTAGTGAGACCCCTCTCAAGACCCCGGTCAAGACTGTCATGCGGTCCCCAGCAGCCTCCGGTAGTGAGACCCCTCTCAAGACCCCGGACAAGACTGTCATGCGGTCCCCAGCAGCCTCCGGTAGTGAGACCCCTCTCAAGACCCCGATCAACACTGTCATGTAGTCCCCAGCAGCCTCCGGCAGCAATACCCCTCTTAAGACCCCGGTCAAGACTCTCATGGGGTCCCCAGCAGCCTCCGGTAGTGAGACCCCTCTCAAGACCCCGGTCAAGACTGTCATGCGGTCCCCAGAAGCCTCCGGTAGTGAGACCCCTCTTAAGACCCCGGTCAAGACTGTCATGCGGTCCCCAGAAGCCTCCGGTAGTGAGACCCCTCTCAAGACCCCGGTCAAGACTGTCATGCGGTCCCCAGAAGCCTCCGGTCGTGACACCCCTGTATGCCAGAAGACCCGTGCATCTGTCTACAATAAACTGAAAGCTAATCTGGCTAAGGACTGGCCCTCTCCCCCAAATCACTGGTCTATGGGAAGGGACGGGGGAATACAATGAGTGAAATCACGTTGCCTAAAAGAATGGAGACGTACATTCAGACATATAGGCATCATTGTGAAGGTGTCGCACCGACAGTAAAACGGAAAGAAAATTGTCTGTCCAATGTCAGCCGGATAAAGAACTTCCTCGTATTTATGGCCCATGGTGTTAACGGACTGTCAGACTGGCTGTTCCTAAAAGACACAAAGAGGGTCCGTGGCTGGAGCGAGCATATTGCAAAGTTGGGCCGGGCAGTCACAACATCGCTGTTGTTCCTGAAGAATGTGAACTATTTCCTGAGGTAATTGTCTGAGTCAAAGCTCCGGGCGTGCAGGCTCACCCAGTCTGATATAGGGACAGGTGGCGCAGTGGTCTGTGCGTTTGATCATCAGATCAAGGGGGCGTTGGGGAACTCCAGTTCGAAACCCGCTCCCGCCCCACTGCGTCAGGCCGTTGTGTCCTTGGGCAAGACACTTCACCCGAATTTGCTCCTGTGGGTATTGTCCACAGTAGATGACCATTACATGTATGTATGTATGATCTGTATGTGTAATGTGTATTTGTAAAGCGCTTTGAGAGTCATTGATAAAGCGCTATAATAAATATAAGGATTATTATTTTTTATTATTATTATATGACCCACATCATCAGAGAGGTGACAGCCAACATGAACGACTTGTCTGTCACTGTCCACCAGTTTAAGGTGAAGAAGAACAAGCTGGATCGTCTGCCGAGCCAGGCGGAGCTTCTCGCCGACATGGCGGCCGCTGAAAAGCGCATCCCTGATCTCCTTGACCTGATGGCTAGCAATCCGACCTCAATCACTATAGCCTGCTATATGGCTATCTAACCCTCCATTGGAGCCTCCTGTATGGCCACCATCCGGGTGTGTACGCAAACATGACCAACACTGAGGTCTTTGAGGCGGACAGAAGGGGCACTGCTGAGGGCTACATCATCCATGTGCAGGATCACAAGACTGCCAAGACATTTGGCGAAGCACAGCTGGTGCTTACAGTAAAGGAGTTTAGCTGGGTCATGCGGTGGATGGGGATAAAAGAGGATTTGTCGGTCCTCAGAATGAATTCTTCCTTTTCACAACGGGGAAGCATGCCTCCAAGAACCTGAACGCTCACTTGAAGAGGGCTTGGGCTGATGCTGGGCTAGAAACAGCCGTCACCTTCACAATCCTGCGCACTGCCCTGGCAGACAATATCAAGCATCACCAAGATCCAGAAAGCAGGTCGATTCTCGCCAGGTTTATGTGTCACGACGTAAGCACTGCAGACCGGTTCTACGCGAATACGCCTGGAATAAAGGAGTGATTGAAGATCTGCTCCATGTTCAGGGCGGCAGCAGCAGCAGCAGCAGCATCATCAGAAGGAGGTCTACCGCCGTCAGATACCTCCGAAGAGGACTCAGGGGCGGAGAGCAGCGATACCTCTTCTTCAGGGCCGGTTGATACTCCTGATGAGGGGGTAGGGGCCGTGGACTCAACCTTTTTTCCCCGGTGCACCGTACAAGTTAGACGGTTAATATGGCCCCCGGGCCCCGTTAAATGATATCGTGCAAAATTACAGGCTAAAACTCTCTTCCAGACATTTAAAAACACTTTTCCCGACCATTTAAACATTATTTCTGGCTTGTAAAGTGCAGTGATGAGCCCTGGTAGTATTAGACTATTTAAAGGGTTACCAGGAGCATGATAATATCCTCCACAGAAGGGGGGGTGGTGGTGCCGTGAAGAAGGCCGAATATGGATACTGATGGGCGGACGGTAAAGCACCGCAAAATCCACCCCCCTTTTAGGGTTACCAGGGGCATGAGGTTCTGTAGGGTGTGATCATCTGGGTTTAGTCCGTGGGGGAGTGCTTAAGTCCGGGGGCCCGGGGTCCCAGGGACTCACGGTGTGCAAGGTTATGGAGGTGTCCATGTCAGGGAAACATGCTGGAGGTCATTAGTCCGTCCTTTGGGGCTCTTTGAGGGGCCACAGAGAGGTGCAATTACTGGTCTCTCTCCTGGAGGTGTGAAATAAGCAGAGTGCCCATGTGCCCATCGTGACAGGTTGGACCAGGCGTCAATTAGACGCCTGCAGCTAGTGCAGAACGCAGCTGTACGTCTTCTCACTGGCCATAAAAAGCGTGACCACATCACCCCAATTCTGGCCTCACTGCACTGGCTTCCAATTTGGTTCCGAGTTGATTTTAAACTCCTTTTATTTGTTTTTAAAGCCCTAAATTGGCTGGCTCCTGCCTATATAGCAGAACTCCTCCAGCGCTACACCCCAGGCAGAGCCTTAAGGTCGGCTGATCAGCTGCTGTTGATAGTGCCCAAGACCAGGCTTAAAACCCGAGGGCATTGAGCTTTTGCAGCGGCTGGCCCCAGGCTCTGGAACACTCTGCCCCTCCATGTGAGGTCAGCCCAGACCCTAGGGGTTTTTAAATCTACTCTTAAAACACACTTCTTCTCCCTGGCCTTTTAGTCAGAGCGGAGCACTACTCCTGACTTTTCCCTGTGTTTTTTATATATCTGTTGTACTTTATTGTCTTTTATTGTGATTGTAGTATTTATTACATGTACAGCACTTTGGCCCGACCAATAATCGCTTTTAAATGGGCTTTATAAATAAACTTAGATTTAATTGATTTGATTTGATAACTGTCAATCAATCACATAACTGTCAATCAATCACAGAGCTGTCAATCAATCACAGAGCTTTCAATCAATCATAGAGCTGTCAATCACATAACTGTGAATCAATCACCTACATGTCAATCAATCACATAACTATCAATCACATAACTGTCAATCAATCACAGATCTGTCAATCAATCACAAACATGTCAATAAATCACCTAACTGTCAATCAATCACAGAATTGTCAAAACAGACGTTTGGTCACCTGAACGCCTCCGTGCTGTTCGGAGACCCTGTCTGAGTCCCTCTCTGATTGTGTGGTTTTGATTGGTGGATGAGTTCGGTTTCCATAGACACAGTTGAAGCAGGATCGGGCGTGGCCCCCGTGGTCGAGCAGGTACTTGAACATGGGCAGGTTCTTCATGGAGAACATGTAGACGGCAGGGAAGGTGGTGAGGTGTGTGGGGATGGAGGCGTTGATATCTGCTCTGTGCTCCACCAGCAGGGTGACGGTCTGGATGCAGTTCAGCCTCGCCGCCACCATCAGAGGTTTGAACATGTCCCGGTTGGGGTCTGCGCCGGCCGCCAGCAGCATGCGCACTGCATGGATGTTGTTGTTAATGACGGAGAAGTAGAGCGACGTGCTGCGGCGGTCCTGGTAGAGCCGCAGCCGTTCTTCAGACAGCTGAGCGTTCACATCAAAACCTGCCTCGATCAGAGCCTCCAGGACATCATCGCGGTTACGCTCAGCCGCCAGGTGAAGCGGGCTGATGCCGGCGCGGCGGACTCTGGTCTTACTGGTGACCGAGATCAACATGGAGACGATGCTGGGAATAGGAAACACAGGAATTAGACAAGACCAACTCTCGGAAAACTGTGGAAATTAGAGTGTGTGTGTGTTATTAGCTAAGGCAGACACAAATCCATGTTCTCACCTGTAGCTTCCTCTCTGAGCGGCAACGTGAAGCGGTAAAAACCCAGTTTTTCCTGGTTTGTTGGCATCAGCATTCTGAGAAAGGAGGAACTCCACGATCTTGTCGTGTCCATTTTTTGCAGCTTCATACAGAGCGGTGGCTCCATCAGCAGCCTGGCTGTTAATGTCTGCACCTGCAGTGACCGAAAGGGGAGCAGGATTTAGGGATCAGGATTCAGGGATCAGGATTCAGGGATCAGGATTCAGGGATCAGGGATCAGGATTCAATCAATCAATCAATGTTTATTTATAGCCCAATATTACAAATGTTACATTTGTCTCAGTGGACTTCACAGTTTGTACAGAATATCAGTATGACAATACGACACCCTCTGTCCTTAGACCCTCTGTCCTCAGACCCTCTGTCCTTAGACCCTCTGACCACAGACCCTCTGTCCTTAGACCCTCTGTCCTTAGACCCTCTGTCCTTAGACCCTCACATCTTACAAGGAAACACTTCCGGAGAAAACCCACAGTTTAAAGGGAAAAATGGGAGAAACCTCAGGGAGAGCAACAGAGGAGGGATCCCTCTCCCAGGACGGACAGACGTGCAATAGATGCCGTGTGTAAATTGAAAAGATAATACATTTGCAACATAGGTAGTCCAAATGTTTGGAAATGCATGTGTGTATAATAGGAAGATGAATCCACGAGGATATCCATCCAGGACCTATGATCCAGGACCACAGCCACGACTCAAGATCCAGGGCTCGCGATGCAGGACAGAGGAGCGCAGGATCATCCATGACTCCGGATCCCGGCGTATATAGACACCAAAAAGAAAGACATGTGGGGAAGCTGGGTTAATGGGAACATGAGAGTACACAGGTATAGACAGAGAGAAGGAAGAAGTAAGATGTCCCCCGACAAACTAAGCCAATATCAGCAAAACTAGGGGCTGAATCTAATCAGCCCTAACTATAAGCTTTATCAAAAAGGAAGGTCTTAAGCGCACTCTTACAAACGGATAGGGTGTCTGCCGATTCCACAAATGTGGAGCTTGATAAGAAAATGGATTCAGGGATCAGGATTCAGGGATCAGGATTCAGGGATCAGGATTCAGGGATCAGTAGGGATGTAACGGTTCACAGAGTTCACGGTTCGGTACAACAAGAAAAAGCAAAAAAAAGTCCCAGATGCATAATTCCAGGTTTGTTGTTATTTATTTTGAACAGTAGTGCAAGTTTCAGTTTCAAAATAAGGAACTCTGACATTTTGAATAATTCACTTTATTACACAGTTAAAAACAAACCACAAACACTCAGATGGCCATATTATCTATAATGGCTGATGTCAAACAAAAAGGTTCAATAAGCTGTAAAACTAAAAAGAATGTGTAAAATATTACATCATAAATAATAAGAAAGTGTTTCAAGAGTGCAAAGTCGTTGAAAAACATATGCCAAAAGCTTCCGTTATTTATTTTTGGTCTCTCGGCTCTCATGCCTATTGGCTTCTTAAAAACAGCGGGGATCAGCTGCTGCTGTCTTTTGCCGGGCTCCGTGATTGGCAAATCTGGCTGATGCCTTCTGATGTGATGTAACATGTTGGACGTGTTACCATTAGCATACCGCACCGCTGTCGAACAACGCCGACACACCGTCCTCGTCCGATCCACCACTCACACACTTCATCATTATTGTAGTCCACAGGGAACCCGAAATGTTCCCACACCGCTGATTTAAAAGAAGCAGGTGGGTTCTAGCTCCTGTGTGTTATCTGAAATCGCCAAACTAACTTTTCTTCTTCTTGTATTTTGTTCGTTTGTTGTTGTGTTTCTTCTTGTTCTTCATTTGTTGTTTAAGGGCGGCAGGCAAACAGCTTTTAGGCGCAATACCGCCCCCTGGATTATAAATAGTGTAATGGATACTGCCCTGAATGACAGACTTTTTTCCCACTTGTAAAAAAAAGGCGTATTCGTCGTGTGACTGCATGTGCCGAACCGTGACGTCCGAACCGTGACGTCCGAACCGTGACGTCCGAACCGTGACGTCCGAACCGTGACGGTACAGGACGAATACGGATACTGTTGCACCCCTAGGGATCAGGCATGTTGCTGTTTATTCTGCACATTTCTGCAGCTGCTGTTAGCATTAGCAGAGATCAATAAGGTAACCCATCCTCTTACCGTGTTTGAGGAGGAGGCGCAGGATTGCCAGCTGCCCGCTCTGCGAGGCGGTAAACAACGGCGAGAGGCCGTACACATTGACCAGAGTGTGTTTGGCTCCAGCCTTCAGCAGCATCTCACAGATCTCCGCGTTGTTTTGAATAGCAGCTTCGTGTAGGGCCGTGAAACTCCAAATACAGGGAGTGTTGACGGCTGCACCGTGGTTCAACAAGGCCGCCACTATTGCGGCGCTGCTCCTCTCACAGGCTGCAGAGAAACCAGAGTTTATTGAGGGAAATATCACCAGTCGACTACATACAGTATCACCATTTCAAACCCCTGCCCTACAGGATCATCTGAGTTCAGATCGTTATGTTGGTTATCTTAATGCCCAAATAAAAACCGTCAATTGTACCTTTGTAGAGCGGTGTCTCTTTGTCATAGTTGGGGGTATTAGTATCAGATCCCTTTTCCAGCAGCACCTGAACGCATGGCAACTGGTCTTTGCTGACAGCGACCATCAGAGCCGTCTCCCCGTGCTCGGTCCGCTTGTTGATCATCCCCGGCTGAGCTGAGCACGAACACCAGAGAAACTGTTTGTGAGAGTGTGTGTGTGTGTGTGTGTGTGTGTGTGTGTGTGTGTGTGTGTGTGTGTGTGTGTGTGTGTGTGTGTGTGTGTGTGTGCAGGGCCGTATCCAGGATTTCCTAAATACCGAGGTCCAAACATGCTAGGGGGGTTCGGGGGATACCCCCTGAGATTTTTGGGATTTTCATGATCTAGTTAGGTGCTTTTTAAGTCCTGTGGGGGGTCACAAATTGGATAATATATTGATTTCAACCCATGTCAGTGGGCTGACAATGTCAGCATCAATTATTTTGAAAGTGTAATACATAAGAATCAGTTGATTGTTACTATTAATGATCTGGACATGCAGAAGAGGCTAAAATGATCACAACACATTGTCAACATTCATTTTCCATGTCTCTCTCCTTTCCATAACCTGCAGCCTCTCTTCCATCGTCTTGAGTCTCTCTGTCTTCTTCCTGTTCATTACTCTCTCTGTCCTCTACTCTTTCTTTTTGTTCAATCTCTCCCTCGTTGTTCACTTTTTGCTCCTCCTCACTTGTCGCTCCTGCCAGTGAATTAATAATAATAATAATAATAAATAATATTTTTATAGCGCCTTTCAGGAAACCCAAGGTCGCTTTACAAGTCGGGTAGGGGGGGGGGGGGGAGTAGGGGAAAAAAGGCAGACAGGTTAAGGGGGTGGGGGGGGGGGGGAAGTAGCGGAAAAATAAACCTATTAAACTAACTATACAGTGGCGAAAGCCTTGGTAAAAAGGTGCGTTTTGAGGGCTTTTTTGAAAATGTCCAGGGTTGGGGCGCTGCGGATTTCGGGGGGGAGAGAGTTCCAGAGGGTGGGGGATGCCACACTGAAGGCTCTGTCACCAAAAGTCCGCAACCTGGTGCGGGGGGTGGAGAGGAGATCCTGTCCAGATGATCTTAGCTTCCGGGATGGAGTGTGGTAGCGGAGAAGGTCAGACAGGTATTGGGGGGCGAGGGCATGGAGGGATTTGTAAGTCAGAAGAAGGAGTTTATAGGTGATACGGTGCTTGACTGGGAGCCAGTGTAGGTGGATCAGGGTGGGGGTGATGTGCTGCCAGGGCTTGGTGTGAGTGAGCACCCTGGCAGCCGAGTTCTGCACATACTGGAGCCTGTCCAGGGCTTTACTGGGAACCCCGAACAGGACTCCGTTGCAGTAATCCAACCGGGAGGAGACGAATGCATGAATGAGGGTCTCGGCCACGGAATCAGAGAGTGATGGTCGTAGACGGGAGATGTTCCTGAGGTGATAGAAGGCAGACTTAGTGACGGATTTGATGTGTGACTGAAATGAGAGAGTGGAGTCAAGGATGACACCCAGGTTACGGACTTCGGGAGACGGGGAGATGGAACAGCCGTCAATGTGGAGGAGGAGATCCCCAACCTTCCGGAGCAGTGCTTTGGGGGCCACAACCATGAGCTCAGTCTTCTTACTGTTGAGTTTGAGTAGATTTGCTGTCATCCAGGTTTTTATGGCGTGGAGACAGTTGACCAAAGACTGTGGAGGGAGCTGGGCGGATGGTGAGGTGCTGAGATAGAGCTGAGTGTCGTCAGCGTAGCAGTGGAAATTGAGACCGAATTGACGTATGATCTGGCCAAGGGGGAGCATGTAAATGGTGAAAAGTAGGGGACCAAGCACGGAGCCTTGGGGGACACCATGGTTGACTGGGGCCGAGGGGGAGGATGAGCCGCTGATGCTAACAAACTGAGACCTGGTTGATAGATAGGACTGAAACCATGACAGAGCTGTGCCAGTGATGCCAAGGTTGTTAGAGAGGCATTTCAGGAGGACTGTATGAGAAACAGTGTCAAAAGCAGCAGAGAGGTCGAGGAGGATGAGAATACTGATTTGTCCGGAGTCAGCAGCGAGAAGGAGGTCATTAGTGATCTTGAGGAGGGCGGTCTCTGTGCTGTGATGTGCTCTGTAGGCTGACTGTAGGGGTTCGTAGAGCTCATGGTTGGACAGATGTTGATGAAGCTGGGCGGCGACTGCTCTTTCCAAGGTTTTGCTAAGGAAAGGAAGGTTGGAGATCGGTCGGTAGTTGTTCAGCTCCTCAGGGTCCAAACCAGGCTTCTTGAGGATGGGAGTGATGGAGGCGGTTTTGAAGCAGGAGGGAACTATACCAGATGACAGAGAGGAGTTGATGATGTCTGTTATGATGGGGCAGAGGGTGGGAAGGCAGGCCTTGACCAGCACCGTGGGCATGGGGTCAAGGGAGCAGGTGGAGGCCTTAGCATTGGTCACCAGCTTCGAGACCAGTGGAACATCCACTGGGGAGAAGGAGGAGAGAGAGTATTGGGGATTGAGGGGTTGAGCCGGGAGTGTGCATTTCTGTGTCAGGGGCCAGTGCAGAGAGGGGGAGGGGGCGGGCACCAGGAGTTGTTGATGAATGGAGATCACCTTAGCCTGAAAAAAGTTGAGGAATTTGGAGCAGAGGTCAGGAGCTTCAGCAGTGTGCGTGGCAGGGAGGGGGCGGAGCAGTCGGTTGATGGTGGAGAATAAGGATCTGGGGTGATTTTGTTGTGAGGTGATGAGGGAGGAGTAGTAGGCGGTCTTGGTCTTGGAGAGAGCCTCCTTGTAGGACCTTACATGGTCCACCAGGGCCATACGGTGGACGGTGAGGCCAGTTCGTCTGGAAAGCCGCTCCAACCGACGACCAGTTTGCTTCATTGTGCGAAGATCAGAGGTGAACCATGGTGCCGGGCGGAGAAAAGACACCGTCCGGCTTCTGAGGGGAGCCAGAGAGTCCAGGCTGAGAGAGAGGGCAGTGTTGTAGCGGGCCACCAACACGTCCGGCGAGGTGTCGGAGAGAGCCGGGGCCATGTGGGTTATGAGGAGGTCTGATAGGGCTGATGCACTCACTGATTTGGTGTCTCTGAAGGTGATTGTGCGCCTGGGGCGCTGCTTGGGCAGGGGGATGGGGATGGTGAAGATGATGGCATGGTGGTCTGATACTGCCAGGTCTAGGCGCTGCAGATGAGAGGGGGGGGGCACCAGTGGAGCAGACTAGATCCAGCGTGTGACCTTTGGAGTGGGTGGGGCCCTGGACATGCTGTGTTATGTTGAGGCAGTCCAGAAGTGACAGAAATTCTGTGGCAAAGCTACAGCTGGAGGAGTCGACGTGGATGTTAAAATCTCCCAGCAGATAGGTGGAAGGTGATTTAGAGCAGAGAGAGGACAGAAGCTCACTCAGCTCGGACATGAAGGTGGTGGAAGCTTGGGGGGGGCGGTAAATCAGGGCAACCTGGAGTAGAGGTGATCCGGAGAGCGAGAATGTAATACACTCAAATGATGTGATATTGGGAGAGGGAATCTCCCTGACCCGGATACCTGCTCGGTGGATAACAGCCAGCCCGCCGCCGCGGCCCGTGGAGCGAGGTTTATGGAGGTAAATATAGCCTGGGGGAGTAGCTTGGTTGAGAGCGAAGAAATCCTGCTGGTTCTGCCATGTCTCCGTTAAACATAAGAAATCAAGTTTCTTATCAATGATGATGTCATGGATGAGTAATGCTTTATTATTGAGGGAGCGGGTATTGAGCAGCATGAAGGTGGCTGCAGAGGAGACAGGAGGAGTGCTACTGTCAGAGCAGGCCAGGGGCTTCAGACAGCTGGTGCGCACGTGACGTGTGTTTAGATGACGTCGACAGGCAACACGGAAGTACAGAGCCGATTGTACCACAGGAATACTAGAATTTGTGTGAATAAATTTGTAGCGGGATGATCTGTGTATGTAGCGGGGGCGCTGCAAGAGTCCTGATGATCTGATGGCATCCAGGCAGACTGGTGCAGCAGAGCTGAAAAAACTCCGAAGTTGGAGAGCGGAGTATTGAAGCACCATATCCACAGCAGCTAACCGGCTAGCTACCGAGCCTCGGGCAACAGCACTCCGCGGTGCAATGATTGGAGCTAACTCACGGACAGTTCGGCCCTCGAGGCAACAGTCAATCCGGTTTAGGGATAATCCAGGTGGCGAGAGAGGTGGAAGTCCGAGCCAAAAACCCAGGGGAAAACGGGATTCGGCGGCTGTCGATGCTAACAGCTGACAGGTAGCTAGCCCCAGACAGCTGATCCACAGAAATGGTGAGTAGCCGGATGAAAAACTGAACAACGCGATCATCACACAGTTATGACAGAACAGTAGGCTATATATGATCCAGCAGTCAAATCGAACACTTTTTTTCAAGGCAAGAGAAGTTAAAACGCAGACGGAGAAGCGGCGAACAAGCAACGCCAGCGTCCTCTCACGTCCGAGTATGGATATGAAAAGATCAGACTCTCTCAGAGGTGAGAAAAGCAATTAAAAGCAATTCAGCTATTTAGTTCATTTCACTTGTTTGTTGGCATTCTTTTTTTTATTTAAATTTGTTTGATTCTCAAAAGAGAACAAAGATGTAAGCAAATTGTGTTTTATACAATTGTATGTTATTATGACATCATAACTGTTACAGTTAGGTATGTTTTAAAATTATGCCTATTGTAAATGAAGACTATTGTTATAGATACATAGATAGATAAATACAGTGGCGACTGGTCATTAGGGGTATGTGGGGCACAGCCCCACCTAGTGTCAGCAGAAAGTATTAAAATAATGATTACAACAAAATGCAAAAAATAAATTAAAAAATATATAAAATATATTTTAAGATCATGTTTAATCATCTGATTCGTCTGTACATTGCTGTTTTAGTATGTGTTCTTCTAATTAGTGTGTGCCTATTGAGCTGTTTAGAGCCATGTGGGACAAAACCCGATCCTGCCCCTCCCTCTCACTGTCTAAGTGAACGGTGACTGTAAAAACTACACTGCGCATGCTCAGAGTATTTTCCTATTTAATGTGTGTGGCCAAAAATAATGACCATAGAGCTGCCATCCCTACCATACGTCATCTCACATAATTCAGAGCTGATTGGCTGTAAGTACGTGTGCCGCGAAAAGTGTGGTGTGTGAAGAGGAGAGAGACGCGTCCTAAAACCAGGAAGTAAGCTGCGCATGGCTTCCCTCCACAAAAAAGCAATGAGATTTCTCCATAGGATTTTAGAAAATAGCTCAAAATAAGATCTGTGGGAAACGTAGCTGTTAGATAAATGTACGTTTTGTTCAGCCGGATAATATCCACATGTCTACCCAACTTTTATCATTTTCGAATCATAAATCCATCATTTAGAGTTATGATAGACTTTTGAAACTACAAGAAGATAAGGAGGACTTTTACAAAAAAGTAATAGAGATGTTTGTCCAGAAGGATAGGCAAATGGACTTCATCTTCAAGTCAAGGTAAGACCACCATTTTATTGAAAATGGGATCTTACTAAGAGAGAACAATTCAATATTTAAATGATACAATTACATTTTTTGGGTATCCTTCTGTTGAACTGTCTGTTTAAAATTAATTGAAGCATCAGACTAAAAAAGCTTTTGAAAATAATATTATATTTTGATTTAGGTGAAAATATAATATTTGTAAACCTGAAGAGTCAGAGCCTCAGCAGCCATGAACCTCACTTATATATAGACATCTGAGTTTTTTGTGCCCCACCACTTTTGTACATATAGAAACGCCACTGGATAAATAGATAGATAAATAGATGGGTTATTAAGCCTACATTATGTTGTGTGACTCCAGTTCCTCCCTGACTTCCATCACTTTCTCTCTCTCTCTTTCTCTCTGCCTGTCCTGTCTCTTCCTTACCAAAGCTGAGCTTCGACTGACGTAGTCTTTTCATTATATCTGAGTCAGTGTAAAAAGAAAACAATACAATGTTTGTTATATCTTCAATGTTTACTCAAATTGAAATGAAAGAAAAGCATTACAATGTTTGTTAAAAGGTAATCCTTCTGACATTGGATGAACGTAATTAACTTTAGCTCTCTAGCTAGTTTATTCACGCAATTTAAACCAAAGTATAGCCTATAGCTGCAATATAAGTTAGTGTGCATGTTGTCGGACGTCCACTGACTAACGTACAGCGTTCACACAGGATCTGCTGGTCATATGATGTCCTGATGAACAGAAACACAAGCAGCCCGCTGGACTCAGATCTCTAGATACTTCATCACTCCTTCGCTGCTCCGATATAAGTCCGACTCCGGGCTGCGGTGGTTTGTTGATACATGTTGTCTTCTTCTGTTTGCTTTAACAGAGGCTACGTAGTTATGCAGCGCCCCCATGGTCAGTAAATGGAAGTACTACAAAGAACCCCATTTAGTGCAATTATTTCACAAGTTTTGTTATACACAGCTCGGAAAATATTACCGAGGTCCGGACCTCGGTGACCTCAATGGTGGATACGGCCGTGTGTGTGTGTGTGTGTGTGTGTGTGGTGTGTGTGTGTGTGTGTGTGTGTGTGGTGTGTGTGTGTGTGTGTGTGTGTGTGTGGTGTGTGTGTGTGTGTGTGGTGTGTGTGTGTGGTGTGTGTGTGTGGTGTGTGTGTGTGTGTGGTGTGTGTGGTGTGTTGTGTGTGTGTGTGGTGTGGTGTGTGTGTGTGTGTGTGTGTGTGTGTGTGTGTGTGTGTGTGTGTGTGTGTGTGTGGTGTGTGTGTGTGTGTGTGTGTGTGTGTGTGTGTGGTGTGTGTGTGTGTGTGTGTGTGTGTGTGTGTGTGTGTGTGTGTGTGTGTGTGTGTGTGTGTGAGAGAGTACCTGACAGCAGTACTCTCAGACAGCTGTCCTGCCCATACCATGCCGCCTGGTGAATGGCGAGCCAGCCCGGTTTACTTGGAAGCATCAGGTTTGTTTCCTGGACCATCGTCAGCGCTTTCACTTTGCTAACATCCCCGACACGGACCGCTCTGAACAGAGGCTCCTCCTCCCTGCAGGGAAGAGACACATCAGGTACAGGTGAGATAGGTGAGACAGGTAGAACAGGTGCTAAGGTGAGACAGGTGAACAGAACTGGACTCACGCCTCAGGTTCTGGAGCGATGTGGACCAGACTGCCATCAGGTCGGCGATACGCCACCATGCTCTTCCCAGCTCCCGTCATGAAGCGACTGATGGTCCCATCAAACGTCTTCCTGTCACAGTGACACATCCAATCAGAGCTTAGACACTGACCCAACAGTCAATCAGATCTCAGAATATGACTCAAAAACCAATCAGAGCACTGTCAACACCTTATTGACATGCATACAATGCAAGTTTGAGTAGTGCAGGAATAAGTCCTGAAGGCCTTACATGAGTCAGCTTTTTTAGCCCTTCCGGTTTGCTTGTCTTGTAGTCAATGGTTTTCTGAATGTGTTTTTGGTTGTATTAGGGTATTCGTTATTCTCGTGTCCAGGAGAGAAGCTTTAAAAGTAAGAGACAATGGAGTCTCTGAGAAAGATTCAAATGGGTACTTTAATGAAATGGCGCGGTAATGAAACAGACAGGAGGTAGTTGGAGAGAGAGAAGCTGCAGCTTCCTCTCGCAGTCCGGGCCGTGGAGAAGATGCCCCACACACATTTGTCTTTCCCGCTTGCCTGCATCCCCCTTTGCTCCTCCTCTCTGGGGCTGTGACGTAATCTTCCGCCATCCTTTCACCAATGTCCGATATCGCACATAACAGAGGATTTCGACATTTACATTCATTGCTTACTTCCACACGCCTTTTCTCCTCCTTATCTCTTTCATGACTTTTTATTTATTGCATTGTGACGGCTGTAATTCGTTACTTTTCCGTAAAGCCTGAAGTCAAGCTACTGTTGGTATTTCGGAGATCTTTTCTGGAATAGCTTTTCAAAATAAACTTTAACCACAGGCGAAAGCTAACCGGAAGTATTTTCACAATACAACAGTTATACAATTACTGATGTTTAATCTATCTTATATCATTAAATATTGATTTTAATTTGTTGTTAGACTGAAATAAGGTCTGTGGTTCATAAGAACTTGTCAATTAACTACAGGGGTCCCTCAGGGCTCTGTTCTTGGTCCCCTCCTCTTCTCCCTGTACACAAACTCGCTCGGATCAGTCATTAGCCCGCATGGTTTTTCATACCACTGCTACGCTGATGACACCCAATTAATTCTGTCCTTTCCCCGCTCAGAGACCCAGGTCGTCGCACGCATCTCCGCTTGTCTAGCTGACATCTCTCAGTGGATGTCTGCTCACCACCTCAAGCGCAACCTTGACAAGACTGAGCTGCTCTTCCTCCCGGGAAAAGATTGTCCCACTCTTGACCTAACAATCAACATCGGCACCTCAGTTGTTTCCCCGACTCAGACTGCAAGGAATCTGGGTGTGACCCTAGATAACAACCTGTCCTTCACTGCAAACATCGCTGCTACAACCCGCTGCTGCAGATACACGCTTTACAACATCAGGAAGATACGTCCCCAGCTGACACAGAAAGCGACTCAGGTTCTGGTCCAGGCTCTCGTCATCTCACGCCTAGACTACTGCAACTCCCTCCTGGCTGGTCTACCTGCATGTGCCATCCGACCTCTGCAGCTCATCCAGAATGCAGCGGCTCGTCTGGTCTTCAACCTTCCTAAATGTTCCCACACCACTCCGCTCCTCCGCTCCCTTCACTGGCTTCCGGTAACTGCTAGAATCCACTTCAAGACACTGGTACTTGCTTACCATGCTGCGAATGGATCTGGCCCTTCCTACATCCAGGACATGGTTAAACCGTACACCCCAGCGCGTGCACTACGCTCTGCATCAGCCAAACGACTCGTTGCGCCCTCGCTGCGAGGGGGACCCAAGTTCCCATCGGCGAAAACACGTGGGTTTGCTATCCTGGCTCCAAGATGGTGGAATGAGCTCCCCATTGACATCAGGACGGCAGAAAGCTTGCACATCTTCCAGACTGAAAACTCATCTCTTTCGACTCCACTTCGAGGGATAGAACTATTAACGAAGCACTTATATACTAATAAAGGACTGGCTTACCTAAAGCCAGTTGAGTAGCACTTGAAATGTTTGGCTCTATGAAACCTGATGTACTTATATGATTCTGTTTTCTTCAAGGTTGTGTCTTCCTGGTCGAATGTACTTATTGTAAGTCGCTTTGGATAAAAGCGTCAGCTAAATGCAATGTAATGTAATGTAATGTAATAAGAGATCTTTGCAAAAGAAGGTCATAAATGAGACTGAACGTCATT